GTGGGTGTGGACAGACGGAAATAAAAAGGGAAAGAAAAAAAAAAGAGGGCAGACTCAGTGTGAATGGAAGACGGGGACAGTTTGGCAGGGACGAAACGGGGAGAAAGGGAAGGAATTAGTGCCCAAAGGGATGGCGAATGGCAGTGAGAAGAAGTTGCACAGAGCAAAGGAGCCAGGTGGAGACCAGGAGCAAGGGGAAGGAGGAGCCAAGTGCCGAGAGCCAGATCTTGATGGACCCAAAGGTGAGTCTGGGAAGCTAATGCTGGGGCAGTGGGTCTCCAGTTTAGGCCAGGGGTGAGAGGGGAGGGCGCCTATTACTCCTGGCTTCTCCCCCAGCTCTGGGAAGAGAGTAGGGTCTAGTTGGCTTGAACCAGGGGAACTGGGAGACAAGACTCTTGGCTGCCAGTGCTGGCTCTGCATGGGGTTCAAGCAAGGGGCACTATGAGCCGGGACTCCTGGGTTGTGCCTCAGCTCTGGGAAGGGAGTGGGGTTTCATGGGTTCAGAGCCGGGGGGCTGCGAGGCAGGAACTTGGGTTCTGCCTCTGGGATGGGAAGGCAGGCAGGGTGAAAGCAAGCAAGGCTGGGAGCCAGGAGTACTGGGGTCCAAGCCCTGTTGTGGGAGAGGAGTGTGACCCTTTGGGGATGGGGGTGCCCGGGGGGCAGAACTGCTGGGTGTGCTTCCCTGTTACGGATGGGGATGGGGTCTAAGCAGGGACGGCAGTGGGTAGGAGTGGATCAAGACTCCTGGCAGAGATCCTGGTTCACCCTCCTGCAGTTGGGGCAGGTCCAGGGGAGAGGGGATTTCCCCAGGTCAAGTCAGAAAAGTTTTGTTGATGTTGGTTTTTCCAGGAATGGAACAAAAGGACGGGGCGGGCCTCTTGCAAGGGGGTGGGGGGGAGAAAGGGGGAGGAAATACAAGGAGAAAGAAGATGGGGGAAGGGGCAGAGAGAGAAACAGAGAGGGAGAAGTTGTCATATTTATATGGAGGTGCGTGGGGTTTGCTGAGCTAGTGAAGGGGCGGAAGAGGGGAGATTTAAGTTGGCGGCTGGCTGGCTGGATGGATGAATGAGGAGACGTATGTGTGGGAGGTGTGGATGGAGATCGAGGCTGGCTGGAAGGATGGACAGACAGACAAGTGGGGTATGTAGGTGGACAGATGGGTAGCGTGTACTTGGCTAGAGGCTGGAAGGACAGGCGTGCAGATGTGCAAGGACTTCCAACCCCAATCCCGATCCGCCCTGGGAGCTTTCTCTCCTGGCCAGCTTCAGATACAAGACTGGAGTTGTCTGGTTGCAAAGCTATTTCTATTGGCATGAATATACGGTGCTGTGCAGGGGCTGTGGCTGGGCAACCAGCCTGAGGACAACCACAGGCACAGCACTCAGCTGCCCTGCCCTGAGAGCAGCCCTGGGTGAGACAGGATCCCCCTGGGGATGAGCAGCATGGGCCTAACAGGGGTCATTCCTTCCAGCAGGGGTCAGTGTGCATGCATGTGTGTGCGCACACTTGCACGCACACCCACACATGCAAACGCACACAGCGTTCTCTTTGCACGAAAGATCAAACTACAGCCACAGACCTGGGCTCTCCCCAGGTTCAGGATGGGAACAAACCCTGGATGTATGCTCATTGTTTGACTAGTCAAAAGGGAGTGTGCATGTACATGTACATGTGCATGAGCTGCCCTCTGCTGGAAGGGGAGAGCCCTGTTCCAGGTGTGCAAATGTGCACACATGTATGTCCCTGTTGACCCCCACTGGAAGGGTGTGTGTGTGTGTGTGTGTGTGTGTGTGTGTGTGTGTGTGTGCGTG